GGAGGGCGGGGGGAAGGGCAAAAAAACCCCAGCACAAACTTACAAGGAACAGCTGTTTAATACGCAGAACAGGTCCACAATGCAAGAACAAAAATTAGAACAGATTAGTATACATACACTATACTACATTTTATTCAAATGTCAAGTGTCCAGGTACCGTCAAAGAGCAACAGGGTAAAGCCCAAGTAACAGAACAATTAAAGACAGACATTTAAATTATCCTTAAGGCACATTTTTACCACCCCTTTGCAGCAGGCAGGTTCAGTTTTTTAAACACCACACTCCTAAACGTGTCATAGACACATCGGTCAAGGAAAATTAGCTCTTCAACCAAATAAAGACAAAGTGTCAGTATGCAGTTGAGATCCCAAGATTTCTCATTACTTGAGCAGTAAAAAGCCTAACAAATAAAACTCCTCCATAAAATAGCATACAGTCTATTTTTAGATTTAATTTTGGGTCCTCATTAAGACACAGTTGCTTTCTATGATTTTTTTTTTTTGTGGCACCAAATTTAAAAAAAAGTTAGGTTTTACATCTCCATTTTTAAGGATCTTTAGCCCAGAAAATGTGTATTCAATAAAGGAAAACAAAAATATCAGTAAGTGATATAGAAACATCAACATCAAGCAATCGAAGTGAAATGATAGTTTGTCCTCACCTGATAAAATGTTCCTGGTTTGATTTACCACTAAGTCTGGAGTATCATTAAATGCCACATAGCCCTAAGAAAGAAGTTGGAAAAATTGTAACAAGTTTCCCATAGCCAAATTACTTACAATTTTTTTCCTTTTATACAAGGAGTAAAAGTATAAATATGCTAAAAAATATACATGGTAATACTATGAAAAATACGTTTTTATACTGCACATTAGAAAAGGTCAAAGCAAAAGAGGAACTCAAGTATATTTCAGATCATGCTCCAGGACATTCCTTGAAAAAAAAGTTTTAAAAAATCTAAATTTAAATATACATGCAGTAGTCACAATCATCTCAAACTTTATACCTCTGTTGCCTGTCAGATCTATCTCATCTAAAACTGACAAATGCACATATGAAGATCCACTAAGTGCAAAGAATTACCATGTACCAAACACCTCCTCTCTGTAAGTCTACGCCTTTACAACATGAAATGCATGTTACAAACAATAAAATCCAACTACCTCTAAAGACACTTCAATGCTTTCTTCAGTGAGAAGGGCAAAGAATGGGTCTAAACCACGGGGAGCAAGCTCAGCAGCTCGTCTGGACAGAAAAAAGCAGCCACTGCAGTGGATGCTTGGAGTCTTACTTCCTGCAGGCCTGATCACTTCCGAAGCGGGCAGGAGTCTAAAGCCCCTACACACAGTCTTTGGTTTCAGAAAGTGCCTTCTATTCCCACCAAACATTTCCAGATTGCTAGATTTTTAAACTGCTCAAACTAAGCCTTTTTTTCCCCCTATGTGAAAATCCTGGTGTTTTGTGTATAGTCTTGCAAAAATACTAATAGTAATTGCATTAGGACCATTGCACCAGATTTAATACCAAATAGGCACATAAAGAATTTGAAATACATATTTCAAAATAGCTAGAATACAATGCAATTAATTAGGAGAGTGTGAGCGTTTTGGGTTGATTTTTTTTTCTTTTTTCTTGCACGAAAAAAATACAGAGCGTGCTAGTAGATCCGTTTTTCTGCCTTTCTGTTTTTTAGGATTGTTCTTTCAAGCAGACAATTAGTAATATATTTTTGATCCGTAGTATCTGGAGATATAAAGCACTACATTCATACTTTCAAATATTAAATCTTGGCCAAACAATGGAATAATAAGGAGAGATATCCACCACGAGGCAGGAACAAGAGAATTCTGCTTGAGAAAGCTGAGGGAAAACAAGTGATACCCAAGTAACCCAGTTTATTAATTAACAGTTTATAAGTCTGTCAAGAAACATACCTTTTGAACCAGACTAGAAAGGTCTATTTTAAGGACATCGTTGACCTTGGCAAGCTGTGAGCTCACTCCTGGCAACTAGGAAGCAAAAAGAATTCTTGAGTCACATCAAAGTAGGAGGTCTTGCTAATTTACTAAATATTTCAAAGATAGGAGAGAGGGTAAAGAAACTAGAAAGATGGTTTGTAGTAGAACCTTTCTAGCACATTCCTGAAACCTTTGCTGTACAAAAACAAAGCTTAACCTCAGCATTTTTGGGAGCGCAGATTATTTCACTGCCCAGAGCAGCACTATAATGCAGCTGCTTGACACACATTTTATCCTCTTCTACACAGAACATAAAAACAGTGACTGGAATTGCCCAGAAACAGAGTAAGGGAAGGTCACTTATCTCACAAGTGACAGCACACACCAAACCATTAAGTTGCAGAGATACTACTGGGCTTATTCAAGGCAATCACACTGTAAGAGTCTGAAAAATATCCTCTTACCCCACTAAAATTGGCATTGATGTTCAATTGATTTAATGAATTCCTGATGATATTGCAAGTTGAGGCAGCCTGAGCTGCAGAGCATGCAGAATCATTGAGGGTGTTGCTTAGATGCATTTTAACATCTGTCAAGTTTGCATGAAGCCTCTCTGTTCCCTCCTGCAAAACCTCTACAGAGACGCTCACATTTTCCAGTGCTTCCTTTGTTTCTCTGATCGCTACAAGGATGTGAAGTTTTTTTAAAAAAAAAAACAAACAAAACTTTAGTTAGAAACCAGTCTATAGATACAGATATGAAGAGAAAGTGCACATGTGTAAATGCTATGATGTTCTTGACAGCACTGATTTAAATAATGTTGCCCCCCTCCCAGAAAAACCCTCTAGCACAGAATCCGTATTTATTGCACATAAAACTACATCACTTATGTTTTCCTACTAACAAATGAATGTGCTCAGGCTACTTTTACAGAGATCCTGTCCTCTTCCCAGACTACTCTTTTCTACCCTTTC